TCCCACTTGTCTCCCAGTAAGCTCTGGATGCTCTCAGTGCTCTGGCCGCATGATTTCACACTTGTCTCCCACTTGTCTCTCAGTATGCTCTGGATGCTCTGAGTGCTCTGGCCGCATGATTTCACACCTGTGGGAGACGCTCCCAGTAAGCTCACTTGTGTTCCACTTGTTTCCCATGGCCTGTCTGGATGCTTTGTATCCCCGGGCTTGGCTGGATGCTGGGCCGATTAATTTTCCTTATTTCGCAGATCCTCGTTTCGTTTTGAGTCACAACAAGCTTCTTTCGAGTTGCTTTGCGTCGAAATACACTATTTTCACATATTTTCACCACAAGCGTTGCATTGCTCGATTTGCTGTTTAGGTTGGCAGCTACTTTCGTGCGGATGATCAACGAAGCAATCACACACTCTTACGTCAAGTGTTGCGACCTATGGCAAACACAGGTCAATGCAGTACATGGCTAAGCCAAAGAAGGCAACTGCGTAGGAAGGAAAAAGCCAAGCGCAGTGTCCGTGCTCTGAGGAAATCTTCATTTTGATTGGGTCTGCGCATTCGTGTTTACAAGGGGGGCAACATATGTCACAACCTGGATCCATAAATTTCATGTTTTAGCCCTTGTACGGCGTCCCATTGTAAAGTCAATGAAAAACAGAAATTTAATGCTTTCCCTTTGAATCTTGTATGTGCGTCTACATGGTGGACTACAGTTTTCTTCCTCTAGGAAATACTGCTGGCCATATTGTTCGGAGATCTCATTTTTGAACATTGCTCTGTTTGGGGTCTACGCTGGTATAATTGTTTTATTTCACGAGTGTATCTCCCAACCCTTCCAGTCTTCAGTCCAGCCCTTGAAGAAATAAGCAACTATTGAAAAAGGATCAGTGAAAGCCCATTCTAGGCTTGAAAGGCGGCCTACTGAACACAAAAAGTATCTTGTTTCTTTCGCTTAATTGGCGGTTAGCAGTCACATCAGCATCTGCTCCGGCTTCTCCAAAAGTCTTTCACTGCGCATATCTTGAAAACGGCTTTGTACCAAGGATCCACATAGCTCCAAAGGCGTGGCGCCGTCTCTCTGTCCAAGTGCTCTATGATCCAGTTGTGGCTCTGCGCCAACAGGCAGGGCATCCCAAAAAAGTCTGCACAATGAGCAGCCTGTCGACAAAGCACACACGACGCAAAGCACAAACGCACAGGTTTACGAAGACCACCTGAGATGTCGTCTTGAAAGAAATGAGTTCAAACATTTTAACACAAATATTCTCAGGTTTTGAGCACCATCTGTACACGTGCAGCCATCGGTGCCACTTCCATGAAAAAAGAAAGCTGGAGGGCCACTCGCAGAGCATGCCCAAGAGAAACCCCGAGATATCGCATGGAAACATTCTCGCATCGCCGGCCTGATCCAAGTCGTGACTGTTACGCACGAAGCTAGGTCCACCGTGCAAGAAGCGAATCATACGCTCAACAACGGAGGCATCCCAACCGACCTGTCATGAAAATCAAATGCACAACTCAATCATTGTAATTATGCAGTAGTCAACAATTCAACTCATCACACAGCGAGCTGGGAGGTGTCATCATGAACTTTGAGTGGAAAATAATATGTTGAATATATACAGTATATTTCCTCATGCGGCTCAGCAACTAACACTGTGACAAACTACATATTATGGTTCCTTTAATGGACCAAGTTAATCCTTTTCAGCCCTTTTGGCACGATTCTGCATGTGCTGAACAAGAATTTTGCAAGGTCTCTTCAGAAAGAATACGGGGAACTATTGGTTCCATATTGGGATAACAAGCACGAAAAAGCATGTTAAAAAGTACAATATGTAAGAAGAAGCATTGAAGCCCAATCCCATGAAGAATTTAACGTTGTCGGTGTCACCTTGAATTCAGTCTTGTTGCTTCCAGTCGGCTTTTCAGTCCATCGGCTGCTAAGCATGGCTGAGAAGAAACTGGATGCCTCGCATCTTCACAGCACCATTTAAAGCCAAGGATTCTGAAACCCATTACCATATTTGCCCTGCCTTCGCCAACAGTGGCAAGAAGCCAGCATAAACAAGTTGCCTCACATCACCCAAGAATCGTTGCTTCTTTTGCTTTTGTCTCAGAGTTTGTCGGCATTGATGCCAAGATTCCCATCACCTTCTGCGTCGCAAAGGAACCTCAGAGACAAACAGAGAGAGAGAGAGAGGGAGAGTGAGAGGAAGAAAGGCAGGAAGGAAAGAAGAATTGTCAAAGGGTCTAAACAAGTACTGTAATAAAAGATGACACCAGCATGGAGCCCTCATTGCATAAGCAAATTCACGAGGCGTTCTTGTGCGAACGCTCAGCAACTTAGAACTGATTCCAGCGTGACCGGGCTCGAAACGATCAAAGTCTAGTTCTAGTCACCGTTCTAGAGCCTGACTTGTGTGAAATGTTCATCGCCTCAGGAACCGGGCTGGTCGGGAAATCCCCGCATGGTTTTGCTTATTAGATCACATATTCCTTTTTGGGGCGGCATCTCTCACAAACCAAGTGGCCAAGTGTTGCTCAAGCTTCGTTGGTCATAAGCGCGCAACAAGTCCGGCTCTATACACCCACGAGAGGGTTCCCGCCGCCAACTGCGCACTAGCCTCTGACGCCTGGGGCGACACAGGTCGACATCCAATCACTAAATTTGATGCTGGATTGCTACATAAAGTCCGTGCCAAGTTGCATAGCAACCAAATCACGCATTCCCAAAAGTTGCGCGAGCTGGGCGACGCGGTCGCTGCTGATTTCAGCCTGTTGCCCCCAAGTGCATTAAATCAAACTGAACTGCCCACCCCCCTCACCAACATCATTGCAGCCAATGCTCCGCAAAGCGACGCACGGAACATCAAATACCCCACCGCAAACTTTTGGCCTCTCGCCCGTGGACCAGCTTCAAATCCATCTTTCCGGTATAGATCCATTGGAGCAAAGCTTGAACAACCTGGCCACATTGACTTGTTGAGCATGCAGCTGTTGATTATGACAAGGGCCTAGGGAGTTGAAAACCTCCAAATCTTGGGGATGGCAGACCCGGAACATGGGGTGCTGAGACGGCCAGTGAACAATTACTTTACTTCGAGCGACCCCCACCGTGGTATTATATATATTCTTGCTGGTTGCCGGTGGCTATATTGCCTCAGCATCACCAAGAAACTGTCGGCCTTGCAAACCCCAGCCTCTCATAGCCGCAGCCACCCACACGCCAATCCCAATGGCACAGCGGCATTCATCTCCACCAATCATCTTAACTTCACAATTCCTCGTGCCTGCTACGTAAGTTCAGCTCCCACGCCTCCAACACGCACGAAGTACTACGCCGGCCACGACAGGTGCTGAAAGTTCGGGCTCAAGATGCCAAAAGGCAGCTTTCGCTCGAGACTTCTCCCAACTTCTGACAACAAGCCACATGTCCAACGGTCACGGTTCACTGCACCTGCCACGAAATCAGAGCGCTCTGAAGACTGCCAGGTCTAATCTAAAGCACTGCGCCCCCCACGAAATCCGCACATCGAAGTGAAGCCGCTCCGATCTCCTGCACCTGCCACGACAAGTGGACGTTGGACCAGCGAAGCGCGAGGTTTCCCTGGCGCATGCCACGAAAATAATCCGCCAAGTCCAAAAATACGCACGGCGCCACAACGAGAGCGGAGTGCAGGAAAGCACCCGCCTGTGCGGCCGAAATGCACTTTGAAGATCCCGAGGAGATTGAATCCCTAAATAGCAGCGAATAAGCCGGACACGGACGCGAGCACCACCGAACTACCATAAGAACCCCTAGTGTGACCACAGTGTTTAGGGAAAAAACACGTGAAACCAACAAACCAACCTTGAAGGCGAAGGCCGTGGTTTCCATAGGTGGGAGCCCAAAAGAACAATTTACTTCAGATCATCCCCGCAGCCAAGGCTCCGCCCGGTCTTCTGAGTCAAAAGCTTTGCTGGCTTTGCTCTGCACGTCCAATGCTGGACACCTTGTGCAGAAATGTCAACCAGGTTGCAAAATGCAAACAAGCTGTAAATTTGCAACTGTCGATAATTTTCTCAACCGCCCACCGGGCACCGGCCTAGCAGAAAGCAATTGCCAGTGACAGCGCAGTTTGCCCTCAGTGACCGCCAGCACCATGTCCTAAGAGCATCAAAAGCACGGTGGAAAGTGCCTTCAGCATTGTTTGTCGTCAGCCACAAGAGCCGATTTGCAAAATCTTAAATACTTATATAAAGCACCAAACTACTAGTAGCAAGAAGCTACTAGGAATTGTCAAACCTAGCAAAGGCCACGGACGCAGCGACAACACACAAGTAGGATGGATGGCACCTGTCAAAGCCTTATTCCCCCTCACCAACAGAAGCGTTAGCCGGATGCTACGACTGAGGTTCTCCTGCCTGGGCTGCAAATTTCAACTGCCGGATTTTCAAGGTCCAAGTCTTAAATCAACCCACATCAGGATTCAAACCCTTGAAACAAGAAGCTATTAGAAACAAGTGCCACGCTAGTAGTAACAGGTGCCTTACTAGTAGTAACAAGAAGCTATTGAAGCTCAGCATCACTCTCGTCCTCACAGGACTTGAGACACTGCTCCAGGAGTAGCACGGTTACGCTGACAGCCATGGAGTTCGCGTGAAGCGCTCAGGAAAGGAACGATGAAGTTTCATGAGTCTTTCCAGCGGATCATTAATTAATTACAGTGCATCAAGTCATTGTCCATCATAGATGACTAAGATTGCGCCTTCCAAGCCCAAGGGATTGCTTTGGGACTTTGGGTTGAGCATTTGGCTCTTGAGCCAACCAGCGAGGACTGCGAACATGCTTGAGCATGCTCCGCCAAGTGCAACCCATGCCGCCGCATGCTGCTAAGCTCATCTCAAGAACGTGTCACCCTGTTATGAGTCCCTGCACTGGAGGTTATAGACGTTATATAAATCAGAAACGCCCTGCTAGTGAAGTAGTGACCAGTGAGCTAGGTCTATGTTTTGGTCATTTTCGGTCCCTGCCCCTTCTGGCCAGAATCGCCACAACATCTCCCCGACCTTGACAAATCTGACCAAGCGCAAGGCATCGATAGGCATCCCGTCAATTTATCAATTTTCACCAGTGGAAAAGCGGTTTCCAAGTGCACAGTCAGATGGAGACTGCATGGAAACTAAGGTCCAATTTAGATGACCTCAGTAACCTATTGAATTAGGCTAACGTGCTTTTACAAAGGTCTCTCTTGGAGGGCCTAGAACTGCCTCATGCAAGAGAATTGGAAGGTTGTCCAACAACTCATCAGCTGCTCGCTCTTCGTCAGCCGTGACATAAGTCTTGACTCCCATATCGGGTTGGGTGTACACGGCTGGAACCTTTACCCTTGCAAGTGATGGTACTTGCAATGCCTTTGCCAGCTCGGTAAAGGGTGTGCAACTGCTTTCGATGTAGAGGTCGATATCTCCATCAAAACGCACACAAATTGGAAGCAACTGACTCCAAATACGGAGCTGCAGAGTCAAACCATGAAGTGAAGGACTCTGTAGCAAGACTACAGACTTTGTCCGTAGCCTCTCCCGAGGCTGTGAAACAGCCACGCGTGTAGATGAAAGGGATTTTGCGGCATCATGTTCATATGCCATATCACCCAAGCCTCAGACAAAATTGCAAGAAATGAAATGGACACCTTACGGGGTCAATTCCTGCAATTACTGCAACACTTGTATGCTGTACCACGCTACATTTCCCCGCTAAATATTCGATTCTGAAATGCTCACAAGGTTGTTGATGAATCCCAATTATATATATAAGATTAGCCTTTCTTGCATCATCTGGGGATCAAAATGAAAGCCAAGTTGCTGATGATATTTTTCCAGGTTTGCCCTTGGTACTGCGAATAGAAGCTTTCGGCCTCTTTCCTCATGGCTTTGAATTTAGCTTCTGTAAGGTCGAAATGTGGCTTCGGCGCATTTTGGCGCATTGCGGCCATGGATTCCACCATCTTGGAAACAAAGCCGTGAAAACATCCCAAAGACTGAAGCATTTTAATGATGACGCCCTCAGCCTTCTCACTGATTTCATCACTCTTGGATTTGCTCTTCTTCATCATTTCCGATGCATAAACCACACGCACCGGCCCGTTCTTCGCCAGGATCTCCTTGAGATTGGGAGCAAAGTGGTCAATGCACGCAGAAACCCACGGCGGCCTTGAGTTGGTGAGGATCACGCAACGGTCACTGATCGCACAGGCGGCTTGTAAGAAGTCCCCTGCAGCCTGACGCCAAGCACTTAGCTCTTCGTCCAGATCAGGAGGCAAAGGCCTGCGAAGTTTCTGTGCTCAGCATCTCTCACTAGAAATGAAGGAATGGGGTTTGGTGCAGCGTACAGTAGTCTTTTTGGGAAGGAGAGAAAACATGCCAAAACCATCAAAAAGTGCTTGGAAACTGCTTGTGCCATGGTGCTTCGTCCACTCTCTGCTCCGTCTGGTATAGTTACGAGTGGTGAAGATTTCGGTGCAAGGAAATATTGTATCATCCCAGTCCAAGAAGATCAAGGTCTGCGCTGGTTCTGCATACAAACGCCCTGAAGAAGCAGCTGAAAATACCGAGCAGGGGCTTAGTTGTCGGCGCCAAGCCCCGCTTGGAGCTTTGGTCTCATATTCATCTGCCTCATCAGAATCGTCAGTGCCTACAGGCGATAAACCGCTTGAATCGTCATGTCCTCTTCGCTTAAAATGATGCAAATGGACAGACTCACTGGATGGAATTGATGGCAACGTCGTCACCATGGCGCTCTGCCCGTTTGAGCAGAAATCACCCGTGTCCGTACGTCAGTTGTAGGCTGCTTGAATCAGCTCTGTACGCTGGGAACTGGAGTTAGTACGTAGGTCCTATTTGAGGCACAAGCTTTGCTTTGGGGGCGGAAGCGGCCTCTACCAAGTCACGCAGGCACATGAAGTGATATTGGAGTGATTTCCTGAGATTACCAGTGCCGAAGGCATCTGAATAATAAGTTAGTTAAAGAAAGTGCCACAGGCTTCTCATCTAAAAATCTCTGTGTACATACCTAATTATATATGTTAAGCAATTCTCAGTCATAGTGTGTAGCCCTGTGATCTTGGACTGGTGATGTCGCACCAGCTGCTCTAGCTTGAATTGCTGCATGTCATGATGTTGCTTGAGCCACCACTCCCACCGTTCCTTCTCCTTCACATGTTGCACTGCCAGAGATGAAGAAAGACTAGCAGAGGGCAGAGCAGTCCAGCATTGAGAGTGACATGTCACCAGCAAGGAGGCTGTACTTGCAGCTTGTGGTAAAAAGTCGTATGTGAGCAAGGAAGCCAAGCCATGCTACTCGGCTTGCAATGGCATCAATGCATGCCTATGCCAAGGCATGTTAAGGCAAAGATGTGTTCTGTTAAAGCACTCTTGGTTTAACTTGAGCGGTGTCATGAGACTATAGGAGAGCAATGGAGCTTATACAGAAAATGCTTCTTACAGCATCGCGCCTTCTAGAGGTTGACGCCTTCTGCCTCAGAAGAGAGAAGGCAAAAGAGAAACAATAAGAAAAGGTGTTGTGATGAAAAAGAACTCTCACAGCCCAAGTAAGCTGAACCAGGACTACCATCAGGAAATCGTGCCCATGGTCGCCATGATCGACACAAACGTGAAGCACTTAATCACCATGAGCGCATAAACCCTCACACGTCTGACATTGCGATCGTTTTAGTTGTCCATTTTAGCCTTTAGCCAGTCGGATCCAGTGGGCAATGTCTCACATCACTCACGTCCGTCATGGCTATGGCTAGTGATCATTGCAGCTTGCCGAGAAAAATGCCTCGAAGGCAAACAGATATGTGGCCTCCTGTAATCTCCTACAGGCCATCAAGCCAGGTCTTTGTGGTTGCTAACCCTGTGGCCCCTGACCTGTGACGGTGAAGGATGCTCTGTTTCAATACCGTTTTCTTTTCAAATCACTTTGTCGGGGACCCATGGCCTCAGTCTGATGTGCCTGGAGGCAGCTCACTGAAATTGGCTGTTGATACGGCAGCGCCTTTGAGCCAGTCACAGGCAGACTCTTCGTACACCAAAGCACCGAATCGCTTGGATGATCGGGCTTCTTGGAAGTGACAATGGTGCTCAGCCAGCTAATTAGCGCTGTGGATGGCATCAACCGTCTAACTCGTAGTGCACTTTATGTTGAAGCTAAAGCTGAACGTACGGCAGGCCATATGTGGCAAGAAGCGGAGAAAGACCTCAAATGTAATTTGTTTGGTTGCGAGTTTACAGTACTAGCTTCTTGCTACTAGTAGTATGGCCAGGAGCCCCTAGTAGCGTCCTTGTTCCTAGTAGCGATGCCAGGAGCCCCTAGTAGCTTCTTCCTACTATATGTTATATGAAGCTTGAAAAGCTGAAGTCTCCATGGTGCTCCCTTGCACTGGTGGGAACAGAGTTGTTGTTTCTGGTTCTGGACTGCACCCTAACCTGCATTGCACTCGCACTATGACCCTTGAGACGGGCCGTAAATACCTGTGCCAAATATGCCGGTGCAATTTACCTCAGGACTCAAACGGCCTTGTAATGTCCGAGGTAGGGTGATCCTACCGCTGTGATTTGCTTGTCCAACAAATGACCGAGCCTGTTTTAATCTTAATTTCTTTTGGTTCTTGTTCTCTGAGTTCTTCGACCAAAAAATCTTCTTTCAAGAAACATTGTAAGGGGATGTAAGGGGTAGTGTAGTGCGGGGAAGTTCTCAGCTGGTTTTGGCCCTGCGGCCCTGAATGTCTAAGGCTCTCTGCTGGCTTTTCTTGGGTTTTGATCCTGACCGTCTTGACCTCCTCAGTACGAATGCTCGATGTGACAAAATCGCCACAAGCATTGCCAAGACATCACACCAAGAACGCAAACATCACAAATGCAGCTGCAACACACTATAGGTGGAAGCCATCGCTCTTAGGTTGGAGGCCATCGCTTCTATAATATGGTGTCCATGCAGCAGCACAGGTGGTGCTTGAAGATCTGAGATGCAGGCGATCGGTCAGACCTAAATGTCAAGGCAAATCTCTGCTTCAACTCATCTTAACATCGTTCACTTTCATGCTCGTCTTGCTTCGTCGCCCTAACTCGTCGCATCGCGCCGCTTTGCGCCGCTTCCTTCGCATTGGTCGTTCAAGGCTTTGGCTCAGACTCGACATCCTCAAACATGAGGAGAATAACATTGACAAATCTGTGTTTGAATCGTGGACAGCCCTCTCCTTGGCCTTCTTCCTTGGGGAAGAGCATGGCCTGCCGTTGCGTACCAAAAAAAGCTACTTGCTCCGAGGCAAACATGTTCATCGCTTGGGCCAGCACTTTATGTATATGGGTGACACACACACACAGAGCGCCCGACCATCAAAGTATTCGACAATTCTTCGAAGAGATGACAACAAACACTGGAGTGTTTCAGACTCATCACAATGTTCACACTCTGTCAAATTGTATTTTGGTTTGATGATCCCGAAGGGCAACCTGGATGCCGATCTGCTCGCTTTTTCAGAGGAGCCTCTAGAACAGTCTCGTCTAAGGGCTGCGCGTTCGGAGATGCTGAAATTGCAAAAAATCAGGTTTAGCCAACTAGCCGGGGACCGGGCTCTTCTTCGGAGATGACTCCTTCTCTGACTCTGAACCTGGATAAATGGACCAAGCACGGAGGGAACTACACGTTCCAACGTTCCAACTGCTGAGCTGAGAAAACAAGCGTGTGCTACTGCCACCTTGGCAACCTCATCACCGTCACCCATCAACTACAAAATACTTTGGAAAAAAACAGGGCAGCAGAATGTTACAGATTCTATTGTCAATCTGGAGTTCCTATTGCTGAACATGCCCCTGAAATCTACTGAAAACAAAACTGTCCGACCCGAAAAAGTCCTTTTTATATAGCACCCCTTACCACCTCCCTGTGGGGAGCCTGCAAAAAGTTTTCTTTGTCTCGTCCTTGTCTCTGTTGGTTCCATCCTTTGCTATTGCCTTTTGCGCTGCCCTGTCGAACTGTGCTGGCGTGCTGAACGTCTCCCTTGCAATCACCCAAGGCAAAGTTGTGTGGAATCCCTTGGTGTATGGGTTTTCCTCCTATAAGTGCCGTGCCTTCACCAAAGTTGTCCCAATGCTCGAGAATGCCTGTATTTATATCCTTCCGAATGCTGTTGTTGCTCTGTATGCCATGACTGTGATCTGGAACTCTCCGTGTGTCCTGGTCCTTTCTGTTCCTGTCAGTCGCAATTGATCCTGTAGTTGCCCAGTTCTTTTCCGCTAAATTTGGCACCTTCATCTGGTCTAGAAGTACTGTTGTGCTGTCGCGCTCGTGCGAAAGGTTCTTCACAGTTGTGCGTTTCGAACCTGGGTTGGAGAAGCTTCGTGCATGCAGTGCTTCTTGGTCTTGTTCCAATATATACTGGCATAACTGGTGCAAAAATGCTGCAACTCTCCAGGCCTCTCTCCTGCTGTGAAGCTCGCATGTGTTTGAGGTTGGTGCTGAGTTGTGCCACTTGTCTCCCTTCCTCTGTTGTAGATGCTGCACCAGGTTTAGTGTTCTGTGAGGCCGTTGTCCATCAAGTCCATCAAGCCCATGTGTGTAGTAGACTTGTATGTCCACTCTCTGAAGACGCCATAGTCACAATAGTCACCACCATGGTAGAACGGAGACTTGATTGGACATCAGTGTGTGGATGCCATGCCTTCTGGTCCTGTTGATGCCTGTGCCATTGTTCAGCTCCCGCAGTGTTCTGGGATCAAGGTTTGCTCCTCCCTGTAGTTGTTGTTATTGCTCTTATGTATGAGTGTTTGTTCTTATTTGTATGTATGCTGCTTATTCTTGCTTGGCTCCGTTTACTCCTGCTATTTAAGGAGTTCATCTGGATGCGTTGCCAGGATCATGGCTCTGCTACATGTTGAGGTAAAAGCTGTTTGTGCTCTCTCACTTGTAATGCTTTCCCTCAAGACTGTACCTGTGTTTTTTCTTCAGCTGTTGTATACATTGTATACAAATGAACTGGGTGCTCTTTTTCTCTCTCTCTCTCTCTCTCTTTCTCTCTCAGAGACTCCCTCATTCTTACACACTACTTGTATCTTCGCTCTCCTTCTTGGGAGCCAATTCCAAACCCTGCATCAACCCAATCAGTGCCCGGCCCTTGGCCGAAGCTCTTGACTCAGAGCCTTGGCTTGAGAGGCAGTTGGCCAGATTGATGTGCTTTTCTCTTTAATTTGTGATCTTCTCTATTCTGATTGTTCCTTTTCTTGTATGTTTTTAACTTTTCTCTTGGCCCCGATTTAGACCTTTCTTTTTGCCTTCCTTCTCTGTTGCTACAAATCATGAAAGATTTCCACACCTCAGTGATTTTGGTCTCAGCGTCATTCGGGAGAGGGGCTATCTCCAAGAACTGCAGAGTGAAACCTCTTCCACGCGGTGCTCGCCGTCAACCATTCCCAGATACACTGCAAAAGTTCCCGTGGAGGTTGTGAAGACACCGTTAAGCATGGACGAAGGCAAGATTGGCTAAGCTGGAGTCGGACATGGCCACTGGTCGAGTTGCAGAACCAAGGTCAGCGCTTTCAACAATGGTTTGAGAAGCCGGTGCATCCGGCAGCTTGAATGGCTTTGCGTTGTGTGCAGAAACTGGCCACAAACCAATCAGTTATTGCAGGTTGCGAAAGGTGCATGAAGCGCGATCGATCAATTATAGAAAGCAAAGCACTGCAACGAAAGCACCTCAAATCTCAAAAACGGATCAATAGAATCGCTCTTAAAGTTTCTCTGAGACTCTCAGAGGCTCTAGCAAGAGCAAAGCCGGATGTTTTTTAGAGC